AAATTGTTACTAACATTAGTATTTACTATGTATATGTTAAAATTATTATTGATAGTGGTTTTATTAGAAGTAAAGAAATTGATAACATCTAAAGATTCTTACAATTTTAGAAAAATCAGTTTCTATTGGGCATAATGTGATGTTTCCTCCCCCTATGTAAAACAGAGTTCTTAAAAAGGATTCAAATCCGACAGTATGAGTACTATAAAAGTCCTCATTACAAATTATAAAAATTTGAAAAAGCCATAATAAATTTTCTAAAGAAAGCAAAACAGTACAAAATGTAGAAATCCATGTTCTCACCTTAATAAAGAACATAAATAAATCCTCATTCCATGATTAGAAATCTTGCAATGTTTAGTAGTCATGCTGTGCAAAAACATTCATGCAAGCATGACTGATCAGGGATAAAGATGAAAAAACAAACAAAACAAAACAATTAAAACAAAACCCCAAGAAGTTCTGGTAGCCTGTACAGACATTTAGTTCATAAAATCACTACATAGTTCATAAAATTTTCCATACATCATCACATTAAGAAAACACTGCAGCCTGCTATCCAAATTGCCACTAAACATCAAAATTACCCTCTTTGGGACTTTCCCCTTTTTGAAAGGACACTAATAATTATTTTAGTTTGACTTTACTGAGACTGGCATGTTTCAGTTGAGGATTTTGGAAAGGCTCATCCCAAGTATGTCATACTTTTCACTAGGTACTCCAACTCGTATTTATTCATTTACCTAACCTATAGTTAATGACTCTGTCCTACATGCTTGATATAGTTTTGTTCTGAAGGTACAAACAGTAAATAAGTCACATAATTTTCCTTTCCTTAGTGGAGCTTTTATTCTTGTGGGAGAGATGGGCAATATGCAATACATGATTTAGATGATAAATAGATACAGACACAGGTGGTTGTGTATGTTACATCGAAGAATAAAGCATGTTAGAAGTTAGTAGGTAATAGGGAAGTGATGAATGACAGAGCAGACAGTATCAAAAGTACTACAGACCTAAATGTAAAATGCAAAACTATAAAATTCCTAGAAGATAATATAAGAGAAAATCTATATGACTATGGGTTTGCTGATGACTTTTTAGATACAAAATCAAAGGCACAATCCATGAAAGGAAAAAATGATTAGCTAAACTTCATTAAAACAAAAAAATCTGCTCTGTGAAAGACACTGTTTAGAGAACAAGACAAGCCACACACTGGGAGAAAAATATGCGGAAAAGACATATCTGATAAAGGACTGTTATGAAAATATATGAAGAACTCTTAAAACTCAATAATCAAAGAAATAAGCCACCTGATTAAAAAAATAAACCAACGACCTTAACAGATACCTCACCAAAGAAGATAGTCAGCTGGCAAATAAAAATAAGAAAAAATGTTCCACATTATATGCCATCAGGGAAATGCAAATCAAAACAACAGTGAGGTACCACTACACGCCTATCACAATGACCAAAATCTAAAACAGTGGCAACACAAAATGCTGTGGAGGGTATAGAGCTAATGGGAATACAAAATGGTCATCATAAAAGCTGTCATAAAAGACAGTTCAGAAGTTTCTTTTATATGTGTAGGTTATATCTATATCTATATATCTATATCTATAAATAGATGACACTCAAAAAGCTGTGAAAATATAATGTAACCAGATGACCTGATGATTTTATGGAGATAAGTATACACATATATACCTGTGAAACCATCCCCACAATCTATACCATAACATATCCATAATGTCCAAAAGTTTCCTCCCACCCTTTTAATGTATTATCACCATTTGTGTGATAAAATACATAAGATCCTCTCTTACCAACTTTTTAAGTGTAAAATACTTGTCAGAAAACTAAACATACTCTTATCACATAATCCAGCCATTGCACTCTATGGTAGTTTCTCAAATAAGTTGAAAATATTTGTCCTTGAAAAAACATGCACATGAATGTTTATAGCATCTTTATTCATTATTGCCAAAATTTACAATCAACTAAAATGTCTTTTGGTAGGTGAATGGATAAATAATCTGTGGTACATCTAGACAATGTAATACCATTCAGTGCTTAAAAGAAATGAGCTCTCAAGACATGAAAAGACATAGAGGAATATTAAATGCATATAACTAAATGAAAGATGTCTCCCTGAAAAATCTACCTATTCTATGATTTCATATATGTGACTCTGGAGACAGTGAAAAGATCAGTGGTAGCCAAACATAAAAAGCACAGAGGAATTTTAGGGCAATGAAACTACTCTGTCTGATACTGTAATGGTTGATATATGTCATTATACATTTCTAAAAAACCATAGAATGTACACCACCAAGAGTGAAACCTAATATAAATTTTATGTTTTGGGCAATGATGATACATCAATTCAGGCTTATTAATTGTAACATATACTACTCTGGTGGTGGATGTTAACAAATGGGAGGAAAGCTATGCATGTGTGGCTATAGGAGATAAGTAGGAAATCTCTGCGCCTGCTCATCAATTTTTCTGTGAATCTAAAAATGCTCTGAATATAAAATAGGTCTGCAAAGGTAAAATTTAAGCTGAGAAAATAATTTGAAATCAGCAATATGAAGTTCTAGAAGAATTGGGTTATAGGCAGAGGAAACAAGTTTGAAACCTTGAAACTGTTATGATCTGTATAGTTAAATGTAGAAAGAAATCCAGTGTGACAACAGCGTGGTAGACAATTTTGCTACCACATGAAGGCAGGTAAGCAGTCAGAAGCCAGATTATTAAAGCTAGAGAAAAGAAAAGTTTATGTTAAATGTAACATCAGTATACTAGAAGATTCAGAGTAATGAAGGAACATGATTTCTGTGTTGAGAATGAGATGTTGGGTGGTGGTCAACGATGAAGTAGGCAGCTTTCCCTGCATTTAGGGGGCTTTGGGATTTCCAAGTGAAAAGTAATGCTGATTGGACTTCTAGTGTAGAAGTGATAGAAATGGAGTGAAGTAGATCAATTCAAATGTTTTGGTGGTAGTCAGGCAGGACTCAGCAATAGATAAGCATGGTGAAAAAGAAAGAATTGTGAATGACCCACCAGATTTTGATTGAATCACAAGTTCAATGTCAGCATCATTTACTGAATTGGTGAAAACCTGGAGAAAACGGTTTTGGATGGAGAAAACAGGTTTGAGTTCTCTTTGGGACCTGTTAATTTTGAGATGTCTGGAAGACAGTCAAGCAGATGCTTTAACTTAATATTTAGACAAATGCTTTTGGAACTGAGTGGAAAAATCACTAGGTTTCAACAGAAAAAGAATGATGTATAAAGCCATGGGAATAGAATGGAATAATTTTAGAGAAATATATAGACAGTAAAGAAGGGTTAGGATAAAAAGGCACTGCAATTGGAACTCCAAAAGGTTGGGGGGACCTTCATACATTTCGATAGAATAATAAAGTTAGGAGCTCAGTTATTCTAACACTATACCTTAAATTTTAATCTAAAACTTGATTTTTAAATATCATATTAGAAAATAATCTAAGAGAATTTTTTAGAGGACTAGAGGCTTTTAAATGAATCCCTAAATCCTTAGAAAGATGCTAGCGTTTCCAGAAAATTTTGAAAATCTGACTATATAATTTTACTTACAAGCAAAGAGAAAGGAAGAATGAGTTCTTGCAAGAGGGGGAGAATATTGGGGAAGGATTTCACTCTGTCATTACAGCTGATTCAGATCTGCAAGGTAGGGCCACCTCAAAGACCATAAATTACAAATGGCCATGAATCCTTCAGGAGTTGTTGTAGGGTAACAGGGGTCAATGTTTCAAGAGAAGGTAACAATTATACCTCATTATTCATATAAATCTAGTTCTTGAAAACATGTGGAACTAGGAGTATTAAGGAGAAGCTTTATTTTACATCCAGAATTTATACTGGGAGAGATGGAGAGAAAATCACTTAGCAAGTTCTGCAACAATGTTGGGTTTATCTGAGAGAATATTAAAGAGATTTAATTGCTACTAATTGGATATTTGAAGAGTTTTGCATTTTGCTTTATGTTTTTCTTTTTTTTCCTCTTCACATTAATAGGACTTATGGATCACAAGAGAGTTTAATATAGTTATAAAGATATAAAATAAATAGTTTTCACATCTAAATAATATGTAGATGCTTTCACTCTGTTAGACTCTGTTGAATGCTGGTGAATTTGGTTTTGCATATGTATTAGCAATTTACCAGGCATCTCTTTAATATGCCTTGTTTCAATTTTCATATGTTGGTAATTTGGAAATATTTTATTTACATCCTGTCTTAAATGGAGAGAACTTGGCTACTATTTTCTGTTTGAGGAGAAAAAAATTTCTTGATAAGTAAGTAGTTGTTAAAGTTAACATGTATCATAAATCAGTCTCCTCTCTCATGATAAATAGTTCTATTTAACTTTTTCATTGATATTTTTAAGGTCTTCATTCTAAGGTATTCTCACCAAATTCATCAGTAATTTCTTATTAATGAGAAAGCCCAAAGTAAATGCTACTGCATTTTTGCCAAATTCCAGTAAAAACATAGTGAGCAGATTCCACAGATTTTTATAAGAATGGCAGGTTTCAATTCAAACTTTAAATTGACTCAATTATTGTTTAATCCAATTTGGCTATTATTAAACAAAACTAACTTACCAAGTGTGTTTATCTTGGCTTGGAAGTGGAACATTCAACATCCATCAACCTGGTTGTGGCTGTTTATACTTCAGGGATGGTGGTATAGGTTCACAAGGAAATCATATTTTCTTTCTTTCTTTCTTTCTTTTTCTTTCTTTTTAAAGAAATGCTACCTTCAATTTGTATTTGTATTTATTTGCAAGTGCAGTTTCTGAAATTTTTTTTTACTTTCTCTCATTACACCTATGGTATTTAAATCTGTGGATGCAGCTTCAAACTGATTCTGTAGATTGAACATCTGCCTCCTTGGATTATTTTGGAGTCTTTATTTATTTGTTTATTTTTTATTACTGTTTTTTTATCCACAGATCCAGTGTCATTAACTTCTACATCCTGATTTGAATATTCTTCTTTGAACCTTTCTAGGGATCTTTCATTGAATCTTTCATATCCCCAAACTTAGCATAGGTATCCTCCAAGTCCTTCAATGATTCATCACTTTTAATTTTTCATATCTTTCTTATATTTTATGATGCTTTTCTGGGTCTTGCTTTATATTCTTCTTTGCCCCATTTAAAAAAATTATTTGATTCTTTGAATTCCCTTGTCACTCATATTCAGTTTCAGACTACTAAAATTGTTTATCAAATGCTTTTGAATTATTATTCAAGGTTTATTTGCCCTTCTTGGCATCCTTCTTGACATCTTTCTTGGCATCCTTCTTGGCATCCTTCTTGGCATCCTTCTTGGCATCTTTTTTGGCACCATCCTTTGATTCAGTATCTGTCCCACTGGCCTTCTTTTCATCTTTCTTACCTTTTTTACTCCCCTTTTTCTTTGCATCTTTCTTGTCTTTCGATTGGTCATCTTTCTCTCCTGTTTTTTTTGTATCTTTTTTCCCATCCTTATCCTTCTTTGCATCTTCAGATTCTGTAGACCCTTTGTCCTTCTTTGAAGCTTTCTTGTCTTTCTTGGAATCTTTCTTGGCATCTTTCTTTTCAGCTTCAGATTCTGTACCTGACTCCTTGCCCTTCTTTGAGGCTCTCTTCTCTTTCTTGGCATCTTTCTTTTCATCTTCAGATTCTGCACCTGACCCCTTGCCCTTCTTTGGGGCTTTCTTCTCTTTCTTGGCATCTTTCTTTTCATCCTCAGATTCTGCACCTGATCCCTTGTCCTTCTTTGAGGCTCTCTTCTCTTTCTTGGCATCTTTCTTTTCATCTTCAGATTCTGTACCTGACTCCTTGCCCTTCTTTGGGGCTTTCTTCTCTTTCTTGGCATCTTTCTTTTCATCTTCAGATTCTGTACCTGACTCCTTGCCCTTCTTTGGGGCTTTCTTCTCTTTCTTGTCATCTTTCTGTTCAGCTTCAGATTCTGTACCTGACTCCTTGCCCTTTGCTTTTTTCTCTTTCTTAGCGTCTTTCTTTTCATCTCCAGATTCTGCACCTGACCCTTTACCCTTAATCGAAGCTTTTTTCTCTTTCTTGGCATCTTTCTTTTCATCTTCAGATTCTGTACCTGACTCCTTGACCTTCTTTGGGGCTTTCTTCTCTTTCTTGGCATCTTTCTGTTCAGCTTCAGATTCTGTACCTGACTCCTTCTCCTTCTTTGAGGCTTTCTTCTCTTTCTTGGCATCTTTCTGTTGATCTTCAGATTCTGCCCCTGACTCCTTGCCCTTCTTTGGGGCTCTCTTCTCTTTCTTGACATCTTTCTTTTCATCTTCAGATTCTGTACCTGACTCCTTGCCCTCCTTTGAAGCTTTTCTTTCTTTTTTGGCATCTGTTTTTGCAACATCTTTTTCATCTCTAGTTCCTGTTTCTATATCCTTATCTTTCTTTGACTCTTTCTTAGTTATTTTTGGCTCCTTTAAAGCTGTGGGTTCTGTTTCTGACTCTGATATGTCCTTCATGTCTTCTTGCTTGTCTTCTTTACCTTTCTTAGGTGTTTCTGGATATACAGGTTTTTCTACATCTGCTACCTTAGTATCTTCCTTTGGCTGATGGGTTGGTTTATATGGACGCTGCCTCCTGGCAGCTAAATAATCAGATGGTCTCTCAGAAATTCTCATTAAAGAACTGTGCATCCATAATGGTCGCTTAGAAACTTCTTTTATTTTTTCTGAATCATATATCTGGAATATTGGTTAGAATAAGAATGAACAATTTGTATGTTACACAGCTTTTATACCATATACCAAATGCATTTTAACTTCAACCATTAAAAGATTTTAGGTTTTGATAAATAGTGGATAAATTGTAGATGTCATAGTTTATTCTGCTTTTCCAATTTCATTCTTTTTTAGACTAATGGGTAGTCATGTCTCATTGTGGGCTTTATTTCAATTTAGAGGATCTTCATAATTCCCTCAAGACATTATGTTAAAATTGGTAGTGAGGACTAACTAATGACCTATCAGAATCTTTCTTCACAATCAGAAAAGGTCTTCCCCCTACCTTGGTGTTCTCAAGAATTCTTAGAATATCTGCCCCCCCCCCCAAAAAAAAAGAATATCTTGCCCACTCTCCATTCCTAGGCTAACTCAGAAACTAAGTGTAATAGTTTCATGTTCAGGAATGTCCTGGTCTCTATTATCACATTCAAGGTCTCTGGAATTTGAAATGCTACCTGTAGTTAAAAGAAAAACCTGAAATTCTGACTTACCAAAATATAAATTGAGTATTATCAGAAAGGAAACTACAATAATAAAAGCTGTAACATTTGGTGCACATAACTTTGTGCAGAATGGTGCATTTTTTTTTCAACTTCTAACCAAGTGCTTGCAAAATCTCAAGTGCAAAAGTAACAAACTTTGGAAGTGATGTTAACAAACAATGGAAAAATAAATTGAATAAAGAAAGAAAGGAAAAGCAAAGATGTGAAATGACAGAATAAGCTAGGATCACTACTAATTGGAAACATTCCCTAAAATAAGCAAGAGTTGATGATAGTTTTATCTTGTGAAAATTTTTAAAAACTTCTCATATCCCATGATGACTCTAGAACATTGAGAAATACTTCTAATATTCAGAATCCTGAATGCTATATTACAGAAAATGAGGAAGCATTAAAACTTTATCAAGATATAATATAATCCCATGACACTAATGAGGGAGTTTCCCCAGCTGGAGGATATTTTCTGAATGTTCATACTAACTGTAACATTAGGATCTCCAGAATTTTGTGCTTCTTGGACACATATTTTCTATATTGTGGTGTTACTAAAGAAATATGAAATAAGGGGACAAGGTTTATATGATGAAATGCAAATAAAAATATCTACTTCCTTCATGTAGTAGAATTTGAATTACCTTTAACTCTGCTCTCCAATATGGTATTTAAAAGCCATAAATGAACTGAATTGAATTGAGATATAAAATTCACTTCCTCAGTTGCACTAGCCTTATTTTATTTTATCTTTTTAAGATTTTATTTATTTATTTGACAGAGAGCGAGAAATCACAAGTAGGCAGAGAGGCAGGTAGAGAAAGAGGGAGAAGCAGGCTCCCTGCTGAGCAGAGAGCCCAATGCTGGGCTAGATCTCAGGACCCCGAGATCATGACCTGAGCTGAAGGGAGAGGCTTAACTCACTGAGCCACCCAGGCACCCCAACACTAGCCTCATTTTAAATGTTCAGTAGCCACATTGGAATATAAAGCCATAAAATATTTCTATCATCACAGAAATCCCATTGGTCAGTGCTGATCTGTAGCACATAAAACTATAAAATATGATTTCACAAGTTTGGTACTAGTAAAATTACATGATCCTTCCAATACTCACAGGAACTGCATTGTCTCGTAGTTGGGATGGTTTTGATCTTCTTTTTTTTCCTGGCCTTGGTGGTTTGGGAAATCTCAGGGCAAAGTGTTGCTGATTCCATGATTTTTTGCTTAATTCACTGACTAAAATAAGAAGACATTAAATGTTTTCGAGTAAGTAAAATTTCATCAGAACTAAAGTGACAGTAAGATAATAGATTTCATGAATGAACAAATGATACAAATTATGGCTTCATTCATTTAGTTATGTTTGAAATTCTTTATCAATATATGAAATTAAAAATTTATTTTCTATTTTGATCAGTTTTACAGAAAACTATATAGTTATTGTGAAACTAATATGGTCTGTAACATAAATGCAAAAAAGATCTTTACTGCTTTCTTTTTTTTTTTTTTCTTTTCAGCGTAACAGAATTCATTGATTTTGCACTACACCCAGTGCTCCATGGAATACGTGCCCTCTTTTTTTTTTAAATTTTATTTTTTATAAACATATATTTTTTTCCCCAGGGGTACAGGTCTGTGAATCGCCAGGTTTACACACTTCACCGCACTTACCATAGCACATACATTCCCCAATGTCCATAATAACCCCAACCCCCCTCCCCCCAGCAACCCTCAGTTTGTTTTGTGAGATTAAGAGTCACTTATGGTTTATCTCCCTCCCAATCCCATCTTGCTTCATTTACTCTTCTCCTACCCCCTTAACCCCCATGTTGCATCTCCTCTCCCTCATATCAGGGAGATCATATGATAGTTGTCTTTCTCCGATTGACTTATTTCGCTAAGCATGATACCCTCTAGTTCCATCCTACGTGCCCTCTTTTAATCTATCTCTCCCAGTCTAGATTTTTGCTTTAGATTCTTTTGGTTAGAATACAGTTTTTTTTTTTTTTTGAGATCAGAAAACATGATAACTACACTTCAGTAGCCTTGAAAATACTTAGCACAGACAGTACTTGTTTTAAAATATTCAATAAATATATGATTGATTCTAAATGTTACTGATTAAGCTTCCTTTAGTAATTTTCCAAGGTACAGGAGTAAATGTTATTCACATAGAAACTGCACTGTTGTTATAAGTGGCATATTAATGAAGTAAACTATAAATACAGAGTACCTACAGAATTGGGATTGTGAGGGAAAAGTTTCCTGGAAACTATAAGGAAATGGTTAAAAATAAAATAGTTAAAAGACGTTTGGGTACCAATGGGAGTGAGAGAGATTTTTCATTTCATTTAAACATGTGCAGTATAATACTTTGTGTAAGAGATATCCTTTCTTGTGTATCTCCTAAAAATAGGATCAATGAGAACATATACAGAATGAAAGGCATATTAAAGCTCAATATATGAAGGAAAATTGTTAGGTATATGAATTCCTTCAACGTCAAATTGGTGAATTTTTATAAGGAAAATATATCTGTCATGAATGTAGTAGAAGTCATTGCAGACATGGGTGAATTGTTTATCCAGTTTCTACACTACTTTTCAAATATAAGAGTATCTGATTGTGTGATTTCTAACATGTATGATTTCTAACATAACACCTTTATGTTGCTGAATATATTGCTTAAACTTTGTTGGATTCAAAAACAAAGTATCTTTAGAAAATGTTTGCCAAGTCCATGAGAAAGTTGATTTTTAATGATATTCCATGAGCTACATACTGCTTTATCACCTTGAATAGAGGATAATAATCATTTATCCTTAAAAGTAATCTTAATCTGGGGTACATGGGTGGCTCAGTCAGTTAAGTGGCTGCCTTCAGCTCAGGTCATGATCTCAGGGTCCTGGGATGGAGCCCCACATCAGGCCCCCTGCTCAGTGGAGAGCCTGCTTCTCCCTCTCCCTCTGCCTGCCGCTCAGCCTACTTGTGCTCCCTCTCTCTACCTCTCTGTCAAATAAATAAAGAAAATCTTAAAAACAAAAGTAATCCTAATCCTAAAATTAATCATATTTCAAAAATAAATATTGAATTTTTTCTTACCTGGAATGTAGTTATCATATGTTCCAAAGTTTATTTTTTGGCTATTAAAATAAGAGGGAAATGTTTTAATTAATTTATATAAAATCACTGTATTTAATGATCATTATTGTAATGATCAAGTGTAAGCACTTGCCATCACCAACTAGAGAAATATTTTGAATTCTCAGATCTCCACTATTATGTAAGATTACTTGATCCTAGAAAAAACAGAGATGAGTAAATGTGTGTTTTTAGCACAAACTTCAACATAACTAAAATAGATAGAAACATTTAAAAATTATCAAATTGCCATATGTGAAATAAAGACTTTTTTTTAAAAAATTGTGAATTCATGGTTGAACTATTTTTCTCTATCTCATGTTCCAAATTTTCTTGCAATTGAATTTTGGCAAAGACATCACTTTAAAAGCATTGCTTAAGCAAAATGAGATTCTCAAAATATTCTCAAATTTTAAGCAAAGCCAGATCATTCAACGGCCTACCTTTATGTCTGTGAACGAGTGTGTGTGTTGTGTATGTGTCTATGTCTGTCAATGTGCACCGTAAGTGTTGATACAGATTCTAATTTTTTTAAATTTTTGTTCTCTAGGAATGCTGAGAAATAAACCTATGTTGTAAGGTATTTTTCATTTAAAAGTTTCCATTTGCTTTAGTACTCTGTGAACTTGTTTACTTTCACAAACAGAAATTTTATAATCCCATTTTATTGATTTGTAATGGAGACATATATTAAGATCTGATAGAGAAGTATAATTTTACAACATCTCATTATATTACAGAAATAAAGCCCTGTTGATCACATGTGAGTTTTGGGCTTACACACACACAGAAGCACACAAGCTCACATAGTATTTTACTTATTTTGACATTACATAAGTATTAAGAAAGAAGTACATTGTAGAATCTAAACAAACAAAACCCAAGCAAATAAACAAAAAGCAGAACCAGATCCAGGAACAGAGAGAAGTGATGGTTGCTGGGGGCGGGGGCTGGTGGGTAGTGAAGGAAAGTAGAAGATAGAGGCTTTCAGTTATAGAATGACTAAGGCATGAGAATAAGAGACACAGCATAGGGAATATAGGCAATGATACTGTGATAGTGTATGTTGACAAATGGTAGGTACACTTGTGATGAGTATAGCATAATGTATAAAAAAGCCTAGTTGTTATGTTGTTCACCTGAAATTAATATAACATTGTCAACTATACTCAAATTGAAAAAAAATTGAGGAATAAAGTACATTAAATACATACCTTGATATCTTTATTTAGGCTCTATTTCTCAACACAATACTTGGCACATTTTTGTCACTCTATAAAAATTTAAATGATTTTGGTGCACCTGGGTGGCATAGTCTGTTAGGCCTCCTGACTCTTGGTTTCAGCTAAGGTTGTGATCTCATGGTCATGGGATCCAGCCCCCCATGGGGATCCATGCTCAGTGGAGAGTCTGCTTAGGACTCTCTCTCCCTCTCCCACTGACCCCTTGATCTCCCCTCAAATAAATAAATAAATCTTTTAAAAAATGGGAGCATCTTGATGGCTTTGTCGGTTGAGCATTTGGCTTTTGATTTTGGCTGGAGTCCTGATCTTGGAGTTTTGGCATTGAGCCCTGCTTTGGGATTCTGGCTTATGCTCTCTCTCTTTCTCAAATGAAGAAATCTTTTTAAAAAATTAAGTGATTTTAATTGAATAAAATTTGGGTTATATTGACCAAAATGTTATCTAGTCCAGTGGTTTTTAAAAATTTTTATTTAAATTCCAACTAGTTAACATACAGTATAATATTAATTTCATGTGTATAGTATGATTCCACACTTCCATACAACACCCAGTACTCATAAGTGCCCTCCTTAACTCCCATAACTTATTTAACCCATTACCCCACCCACCTCACCTCTGGTAACCATTAATTTGTTTTGTTTTGTCTGTTTCTTGGTTTGCCTCTCTTTCTCTTTCTCTCTCTGCTTTTTTTTTTCTTAAAATCCACATATGAGTGAAATCATATTGTATTTTTCTTTCCATGAATGACTCATTTCACCTAAGCATAATACTTTCTAGCTCCACTCACACAGTTGTTGTTTTTTAACCGAGAGCATGCATTAAAATTACTTGCCCTACCATATCTAAATCTCTAGGTTTGGATCTAGCCAATATACATTTATAAACTCCTGAAAAAATTTTGATGTGCAATCATGGTTATGAACATCTCTGTTTTAAATACTCTGAAAGAGAAAATATTTCAAGTTCATGAAACAATATTATTAAATTTGAGATTTAAAATATTATACATAGGCCAGATCCATTAATTCCTTATATAATCCCTAGGGCATGTTCTTTAATCACCAAACAATTGAATTAGAAATCAAAAACAAAATTATATAGAAAATACCCAAATATTTAAAAAAATTGTTCTTTCTAAATAACCAGCAGTCAAACGAAATCACAACTCATAAAAAAGAAGCAACTAAATAATAACATAGGATCAAAAATTATGGAATACTGCAAAAAGTTAAAAGAACTTATAGCTTTAATGTCTTACATTAAAAAGTTTAAAATTGTTTTTCTTTAAAGATTTTATTTAATTGAGAGAAAGAGAGAGGATGAGCTGGGGGTAGAGGAAGAAAGGGAGAAACACACTCCCCACTAAATATGGAGTGCAACATGGGGCTTGATTCCAGGACCCCCAGATTGTGACCTGTGCTAAGGGCAGACACATAACCAACTGAGCCACCCAGGTGCCCCTAAAACAGTGTTTTTTTGTTTGTCTTTTCAGATTTTATTTATTTATTTGACAGAGAGATAGTAAGCATAAGCAGGGGGAGTGAGAGAGGGAGAATCAGGCTTCCCTGTGAGCAGGGAGCAGGATGTGGGAGTGGATCACAGGATGCTGTGATCGTGACCTGAGCCAGAGGCAGCTGCTTAACCAACTGAGCCATCCAGATGCCCCTAAAACAGTGTTTTAAATCCTTGCTTTAAAATCAGGAAAATATCAAAATAAATTCAAAATTAGAATAAACAATAAATCTTTAAGACAGAATCAAAGTGGAAAAAAAAATTAGAGTAAAAAATCCCTAATTTGATTTTTGTAAAGATTATTAAAATTTATTAACTCCTAGTAGAACTGATAAAGAGTAAACACAAATTACCAATATCAGGACTGATGCAAGTTTTATAATTACATAGATTTTAAAGCATAATGGGGAATATTATTAATAATTTTATAGCAATAAATTCAGCAACTTCAGTGAAATAGATGAGTTCCATGTAAAACTAACTTAGCAAAACAGACACATGATTAAATAATAAATATATGACTAGACTCATAATTATTAAATAAAATGAATCCATTATCAAAAATCTTCCCAGAAAAACACAGACCCCAGCCAGTTTTACTGATAAATTTTTAAAAATTAAGGAAAACTACTAAATCTACACAAATTTTTCAGAAACGAGGAAGGAGAGGTTGTTTCAACTCATTTTTGAGACCAGTATAAATAATTCGGACACCAAAACTTCTTAAAGACATTACCAGAAATGAGTATTATAGACCAATACCTTGCATTAACACAGACACAAAAATTCCTTAACTTCTTAAGTAATCTTACTGAACAATAATATAAAATGGCAGACATCATGGTTATTGAGATTTACTTTGTGGAATGTAAGATTAGTTTAACATGTGTAAATCAACCCATGTAATACTGAAAATAACAAATAAAATTCATTTGATCATTTCAAGATGCACAGAAGAATTTTTGAAAAAATAATATTCATAATTAAAAACTCTGAGAAAACTAGAGATAGAAGACATCTTCCTCAAATGGATAAAGTGTCTTCAGGCAATACTTGCTTCCTTTCATATGAAACAGAAGGAGATACCACATTGTTGAGAGTCCTTATCCTTTGAATTTATTATACATTTTAAAATGTACCAGAGATATAGTTAAAGGCAAGAGTAAGGACAGGTGTATTCTGTACTAAGATTATATTTTTTCAGACTAAGAAAAAAAAATGCAGTTACATGTTTACTCCTTTAAAGGAAAAAAAAAACAAAAAACAAAAACAAAACAAACAAACAAAAAAAACACCTTTTCCGGTAGTAATATAAAAATAGATTTTTGTCCTAAAAAAGAAAGTCCCTGATGTCTCCCTACATTATGATCTCAAATGTTTATTTAGGAAAACCTAAACCCAGCTCCCTTTCTACATCATGAATACATGACATTCCACAATGTTAACGGGTACCTTTTTTACTTAAAGCTCACTCATATATGGAATCCAAAACACAATGCAGAATCAGACCTATAAATACAGAGCACAAACTGATACTGTCAGATGGGAGGAAGAATGAAGGGATGGGCAAAATGAGTGAAGGGGAGTGAGACATACAGGCTTCTATTTAAGGAATAAATAAGTCATGAAATCAAAGGTACAGCATAGAAAATAGAGTCAGTGATGCTATAATACTATTCATTGTATGGTGACACATAGCAGCTATACTTGTTGGGGGCAAAGCTCAGTGTATAAACTTGCCCAATCATTATGTTGTACACCTGAAACTATGTCAACTATGCTCAAATAAAAACAATTTTTAAAAGAATAAAAAAGAAACCTGAGATTAAAAAAAAAAAGGCTCAGATGAGATGCTGAGATTGATATTGAAATATTAGGATGTGTGCACTGCTCCTGAAGACAGATTCTGTGACATCTGTTTTCCATTTCACCTTTGTTAAGATGAAGTATTAGTTATTTTATGTGTGTGTGTGTGTGTGTATATATATATATATATATATATATATATATATATATATCCAGAGACCTTAATTCAGAAACCAGTTATATCAAAAAAGAACCACCTGGGGTGCCTGGGTGGCTCAGTGGGTTAAAGCCTCTGCCTTCAGCTCCGGTCATGATCCCAGGGTCCTGGGATCAAGCCCTGCATCAGGCCCTCTGCTTGGCAGGGAGTCTCCTTCCTCCTCTCTCTCTCTCTGCCTGCCTCTCTGCCTACTTGTAATCTCTGTAAAAAAAAAAAAAAAAAA